TTTCAAGTAACAAATTGCATATAACCAAATTAATATTTAAATACAAATGTTGGATGGTTATAAAAAACAAGGAACTTTCTGGCAATTATTTCATGGTTCAGGCTTTAAAGGATTAAAATACAGAGCCAGAAATATTACTATTTTGAATAACCTATTTTTATTTATTTTTGACTTGCTTTTGGATTCATGCAGAATAAAAGAGGCGTCTGTTTCATTCTCTTTATTCTCTCTATTCCTTGGTGCAGAGACACAGCATGGCTATTCTAAGTTTGGTGGTATTAAATTAATTAAGTATTTCAAATGGTGCCCCAGTGGGCTTAGCCATAGATTTATATAGTGAGCTAATGGTCATAATAATATTTAGACAGTCATCATCCTGTACAGAAATCATATTTTACGTCCCAGGATAGTCTGGACTGCAGTATTTTACAAAGCTAAAGATAATCAAATCAGGATGCTAAGGGCAGGGTGCTAAGCTCATTGACGCCCATTTTAACAAAGTGGTAACATGACAAGAACAGGCTCCTAATGCAAATCATTCAGCCTTCTGATTACTCATCCACTCATTACTACACCCACCCCCACCCTTCCCCCAAATTCCATCTAGAAGTCACTTTGAAGTCCACCCTTGAGTGGGAACAAAAAACACAGTGCTGGGATATTTACACTTTAGTTAGTCACTTCTCTCACCACAGGATCTGAGCCAGAACTTCTCGTGGGAGCTTAAATCAGTGCTGCTTCCTTTGTTTTGATCCATGCAAACTTTTCTAATCTGATTTCTCCAGGGTTGCATCCTGAACTTCACACCAAAGCTTACGTCAGCACGCACAGATAGTCATCACTGGCTACGTGTGGGGAGCGGAGAAGGACCCGCGGATGAAGATTACCTCTTAATTCCCTCCACACATACTGTAGCCTGACATTTATCCCTGATGCATTTTCACACTTTAAGTAGGGCTCAAACACACAGACACGCAAACACACTCGCTCGCACACCAGATTCTTTTAACACCTCCAATTAAAAAGAGAGGCTGTGCCCAAAGTCCTGTCAGAGCCAAATCCCAACTCTTGGCCACTTGCCCTTTTCCTTCATGTGACGCCAAGTGGCCAAACTTCATCTCTGAAGTGAGGAAGTCTGTTGTGGTGGGGATAGATGATGGAAAATAAGTCTTACTGGAAACATAATAATAAGATGCATAATTGTATCTTTAGAGATATTTTTCGTTTCACTTATTCTTGCCACAGAAAGAAGCAGAGTCACTTTACTCAAGGCATGTTCAGCTTGGTGTATGCCAGCCATGACAGCTCGAACACTTAACATCTGGCTCCTAAAGTCTACGTCAGCTTTCTATCTACTATGAGGCTACTTGTGTTGAAGCTACGTAGCGCTCACTTATCTGACTTCTTACCCAACATCACGTTGGAAATAGACTTAACATCATTGGTCAGTTCGTCAAAAACTCCATTAAAAGGTGCACAAAACTGACTGAAAAGAATTTTACAAGACTGACATGGCCACAGTGATTGGGTTTTCCATCATGGTCTTCATTGGTTTATTTGTCAAGTTTATTCACATCCCCGTCAACAACATCACTGTTGGCGGTTAAGTTCTGATCAATCAAGATCCTTGGAGAGTTCAAAATACATGACGCCAAAGCCAGATAAAGCCAGATAATTACCTGCTCTATTATCACATGGATGCAAGTGGACATCACGCTGACATGGGCGCAGATTAGAGACCTGCCAGCTCAATATTTGGGCTCTCTGAGACAATCAAAAATAAATTATGTTTATTATTTTGTGGACATTTCTATCTTTAAATGTTATTGTCGAAAGATGACTGGTGAACTTCTACTAGGGACATGGTGACTAACCACAGGGTGTGCCTACTGAACAGTCTTAGAGTATAACTGTTTGTGGATTTGGAGGGAAAGCATTGATTTTTAATGGCTTGGTTAAATTTTCGTGTTGCAGTTATGCAGAGAAATCTAACTATCTGAAGACATGTGTAGTAAATCTTGCAGTATTTTTAAATTTAATGTTCAGCCGACCTCATCCCTCAACTATATGAGACTTCTTTAATGATGTGCAAAATCAACTGAAATTACCCTTTCTAAAAACTTTCATGAGTAATATCACTAATGAGGCCTTGAGCACAATGAGGCGATAAAATATACAGTAACTGATATATATATATTTATATATATATATATAATGTGCAGCGTAGATTTTAAAGAAGGTGATGACAGAAGTGAGATGAGCTAATACTTGGAACTGTACGTAGCACAGCAGCCATCACGAGTGGATCGATGTTGTGACATCCCACAAGAGTATCCATTAATCATCCTGCAGATATCCTGACCGAGTCTCTACCCACACACACGCACACACACAAACAGTGGACCCAAAGGTGTAATTGCTGACCATCACACTTGACAGTTGGACCACAGAGCGAGCTTTTCAGTCTGACAGCTCCTGAACCCAGGACCTCGGCCAGTGCGTCACCCCACAGCAACAACTGTGGCCGTTTCTCACAGCTATCAGCCTCTGAATCAGAAGGAGGAGATAAAGGCACCGCAGCCCTTTTCCAGATGATTTTTCTGCCTTAAAAAGACATGGAACTTTTGGTGTGCCATTTTAAGAGCTCTTCAAAGACACCATAATAGTTTCTCCATTAAAACATCT